CTGAGACTATGGTCTCGAGCCCACAGTCCATCTACTTGCTCCATCTGGGTAGCAGGTTGTGTCCAAGAAGTGACTTCAAACATGTCCCTTGTCAGCTCTACTACATACCTGGAATTCTTACAGAACATACAAATACACTTGTAGAAACATTGTCTGCCATTCTTTACATGGTGGTGGGCACATTCCCCTCTGCATAGACATACCTAATAGTTCAGCCTGTCCACATATCCACCCATAGATCAATGTTTGCCTTCATTGGAAATGCAGTACTGTATGTGCAAAAGGGTTCATCTTTGTTGTCTGCACCTTCCATGTATCTCTCTATGTCTTCTTTTACTTCAATGCCACTCTGTTGGTCACTCACGTTTGGTACATTGCCCTTTTCTTCATCCAAATCAATACTTGTCTCTACCTATCTAACAGTATTCACTCCCCTCCCCTTCCACCTCTGGTAGTCAACAAAGAAAATTTTCTTCCATATATAAACCTTTCCTTGACTTTTTACAATGACAGACTAATACAATATTTGTTCTTTTGTGATTGACTTATTTCAGTCTGCATAATGTCCTCCACATTCAACAACATTATGCAGTGTTTTCCAGACTCTATTTTATTTTATAGGGCTGCAGATTTTACATTATTCTTTAGTGTTCCATAGTATTCCATTGTGTGTATGTACCATAGATTGGTTATCCATTCTTCTGTTGATGGGCACCTAGGTTGTTTCTGTCTTTTGACCACTTAACTCGTGCTGAGATAAACATGGGTGTGCATACATGTGTTCTTATCCTGACTCTCACTTCTTTAAGATATATACCTAGTAATTGAATTGCTCAATTAAATGGTACTTCTAATTCCAAAATTTTAAGGAATCACCATACTGCTTTCCACAGTGGTTGTATCATTTGACAATCTCACCAGCAGTGTATGAGAGTCCCAATATCTCTCAATTCTCACCAGCATTTGTTATTTTCTGTCTTGTTGGACTTTACTACCAGTGCTGGAGCAAGATTTATCTCACTGTTTTGATTTGCATCTCTCTAAAGGTTAATGATCATGAGCATTTCTTTATGTTTGTTGGACACCTGAATATCCTCTTTGGTGAAATGTCTGTTCATGCCTTTTGCCCATTTTTAATTGGATTATTTGTCTTTATGTTGTTGAGATGTTGGAATATTTTATGAAATTTAGAGATAAGTCCCTTGTCAGATATGTCACTACCAAATATAATTCCTAATCTGTAGGTTCTCTTTTGAGTCTTTTGGAGAAGTCTTGGGAAGTACATTAAAATTTAATTTTTAGAAGGTCCTATTCATCTAGTTTATCTTCTGCTATTTGTGCAATTTGGGTGATGCTTGATAGTGTATTTATGCCATCGTGTAGGGCCCCTAATTTGCTTTTAATTTTTTTCTTGAGGAACTTTATAATTTTAGTTTCACATTTAAGTCTTTAATCCATGTGTAGTTAGTTTTTGTGTATGGTGTGAACAGCAGATCTTGTTTCATTTTTCTGTAAATGAATATCCAGTTTTGCCATCACCATTTATTAAACAGGAAATCTCTTCCCCATTTAATGGATTTCATCCCTTTATCAAAGATCCACTGACCATAGGTCGATCGATCAATTTCTGAGTTTTCAATTCTATTCCATTGGTCTATGTGTCTGTCATTGTACCAGTACCAGACAGCTTTGACTACTGTGGTTATATAGTAGGTTTTAAGATCCAAGAGGGTGGGTGAGACCTCCTGCTTTGTTCTTCTTCTTCAATAGTGCTCTGCTTATCCAAGGTCTCTTTCCTTTCCATATAAAGTTAGTGACTGGTTTTTCCATAACCTTAAAGAATATTGATAGAATTTGGATTGGAATTGTTTTGAAGGTCTAGACTGCATTTTCACACTACTTGTTACTAAATGTTATGGATACTATTGGTTGATATTCTAAATTATGGTGTGAGGATAAAGACTGTGAATTCTATCATAATGCTAATGAAAATTAGATGAAAAACAAGATATTTAGAGTCTGATATTTTTTCCTTTTAATCGAGGAGATGGGGATCATTCCTAATGCTTTTTATTATTACTGTTACTCTTTTCCAGCACATGTGGGGAGACTGTTTACCACCTATTCATTAACAGCAGATATGGCCCTGTACTTAATTAGGCCAATAAAACGAGACCAGAAGAGCTTGGTAGAAACATACATACTCAGTGCACTGTCATTTATATTCTCCTCCTCTAAGTGAAAGATCCACATTTTTAGATTTCTTAATGAATTCATATTAAGTTTTCTAACAATTAAAGCTCTTATTACTCCCTTTTCAATAGTAAATCAGAGCTAATTTTCATATGGTTACTTTTTTTTTTTTCTAATTGGGACTTCCCCTTATATCACATGTATATTTTAATCTCTTTTCCAATATATCTGACATTGTTTTTACTGATACTCATTTTAAAAAAAATATATGTAGTTGGATTGGTTTTTAACTATTTTAAATTTGTATACTTGTGAGTTCAAGGATGTTTTTCTTCTGTGGATGCCAAAACTTCTCAGTAAACGTGCTAAGGTATCTTTGTGGAGTATATCCATATTTCTGAAAGAACTCATGATGTTGATATGATCAGGTCCAAGATTAATTATTAATATGACTTGTGATTGAGGAGTGATCCATCAGTTTTTCTATTTGGACATTTTTTTTAATAAAAGCTTAACATTATACATATCAATATGACTATGTTTTTATGTTATAAAGGTCTTCCAGTGTGGATGTCTTCTCCCCAAATTTTGTAGATATTGTGAGCTAGAAATAAGCTCTTTCTTTAAAGTAATTAAGATTTGGGGGTTATTAGTTACTGTAGTAAAATTTTACTGTAGCAAAATCTCCTGATATATTGACTGATATTGAAAATCAATATTATTTATTCAAGTATCTAACACTTCAAAAGAGCAATAACATTATTTTTAACTTCTCAATGGCCTTAATGCATCTATATGAAACAAAACCAAGTTCATTAGCTTACAGTAAATGTTGACACAAAGCAACTCTATAGCACAGAGTAGAACATTTGCTGTTGTTGTTATGTGTCGTTGAGTTGGACTTGACTCATAGTTACCCTTCCTTGGGTTTCCAAAGGGGTATCGCTATAGAAGTAGATTGCCCAAACTTCCTTCTGAGGAGTGGTTGATGGGTTTGCACCACCAGTCTTCTTGTTAGCAGTCAAGTGCCTTAGGCACTGCACTACCAGAGTTCCTAGATTAGAACTACCCCACAAGTTTTCCAAGGCTGTAATCTTTATGAAAGTAGATTGTCCCATCTTGTTTTGTGCAGAAAAGCTGGTAGATTTGTACAGCCAAACTTAAAGTTAGCAGCTGTGAATTACAAAGTGTGTACCAGGGTTTCTTATGATCTATGGATAGGCATGTAATAACTAGGAATATAGAATGCATTAATTCCCTTAATTAGCCTAGAAAACAATGCTTAAAACACTTATACACATACATGTATCTCCAAATCACTTGACCTTATTATTAGTATTGTAGTAAGGATATATATACAACAAAACATTTTCTTTTTCAATGTTTTTTGCAAGTCATATACATGTATGTATATTGTTGTTGTTATTATGTGCCGTGGAGTCAACTCCCACTTATAACGACCCCTCTTTGGGTTTCCAAGGCAGTATCACTACAGAAGTAGATTGCGCAAACTTCCTTCCAAGGAGTGGCTGGTGGGTTTGAACAACCGGTCTTCTGGTTAGCAGCCAAGTGCCTTAGGCATTACACTACCAGAGTTCCTAGACTAGAACTATGCCACAAGAACTATCCCACCAGAGCTCCCACATATATGTATATATTTGGAAGGAAGATGGAGCAATCTACTTCCGTAGTGATACTGCCTCAGAAACCCAAGGAGGAGTGGCTATGAGTCGGGTCTGACTTGACGGCACATAACAACAAACAAAATTATGTATGTATGTATGTATGTGTGTGTGTATATATATATATATATATATATAT